TCCTTGGGTACCATACACTGTTTTTGAGAGACAGGGTGTCTCATTAGTCTGGGCTTCACTGAAGAGGCTAAGGCTGGTGGACAGGGAGCCCCAGGCATTTGCCTGTCTCTGCTTCTCCTGAATTAGAATTATAAATATCCAGTAACATACCCAGGTCATTTTATATGGGTTCTGGAGGTCACACTCATGCCTTTATACTGGTAAAATGCACTCACATTAATAAGACTGAGCTATCATCCCAGCCTCCTAGCCCAAACTTGTAAACAAATTGCAAGAAAGTATGTAAGCTGTGTTTGGGCCCACAAAGAAGGAAAACTCAGTTCAGCCTAATTTAGTCAATGCTGGTTTAAACTTCTAGAGAGTCTGATACCAGGCTGTTTATTGTAATCATATTTAAACACAGTACAGTTTGGACAAAAGTTTCCTGGTATGTTGTAGAATATTTGTTTACACTGTAAAGATGTGTCTCTGCTTAAGGAGCCTTCTGATTGGTTCAATAAAGAGATAAATGGTCAATAGCTAGTTAGGAGAGAATAGGCGGGACTTCTGGGCATAGAGAAAGAGGGGAACTGGAAGGAGGAATCTAGGCTCATGGATGTGCCAGTAATCCATGGAGAGGAAACAGGTGTGGGATGGATGAGAACAAGCCTAAGCTAAGGCCAATCTTTCATAACTAATAAGTCTTCGAGTTGTTATTTGTGAGCTGGTGGTCCACAGAAAAATCTAACTGTATTGGTGTAATATAATCCAGTGCACAAGGATGCATAATTATACTGAAGCTCAACTCGAAGTACATGTGACCACCAAGATGAGTTCTATGTAGCTTAAGGCCTAGGATCTGCTGTGGTTCTCTGCCTGAGATAGCATCTGTGTTCTAAAGTACATTTGACATCTCCCCTAAGGATGGGTTCTAGTGACTGAAAAACAAAGCTAAAAGGTAAAGGTGTAGGGAGGGCGAGTCGGATAAACATTCTGGGAGATTTTAGTGAGGTCTGATCTATGGATAGCAATGGTCACCAGGTCATTAGCAACTTCCACTCTCAGCTTTCTGGGTTGAAAACAGGTATCTCCTCCTTTGAGGAAACAACCATGTGTGATTAACATTACTGGTTTCCCAGTGATCTGTGGGCACAAAGACCTTTGTGCTCCCAATAGTTTATTCCCAGAGCTATCCCCTCAGCTCCTAATTGTGTTTCTCTGACTCTCTTAGCTACTCTCCTGGCTCAATCTTGTTTTCTTGGCCAGGTTATACTTAGACATAGCCTCTTTTTCTCTTTTTTCCTTCCTTCCTTTCTTCTCTCTTCCTCCTCTCCCTCTTGCCTTCCATTTTCACCTCTTGCCCCTCTTCTCCCCCTTTTCTTCAGAACTTCATGTAGCTGAGGCTGGCCTCAATATTACCATGTAATAAAAGTTGACCTTGAACTGCTGGTCCTCTAGCTCCATGTGATTCTCTTCTTTCTTTTGGAAGGGTCTAGGTCATCACTGACCTTGGCTTTCTAGCATTTGATCAGCTTGGCACTGCAGAGATTTCTGCATAGTCCATGTGTGGCCTCCTTTCTCATTGCTGCCCCTGTCCCCTAATACATATATGTACTTACATCTGTGACCATTCCCTGCCTAGCCTTTTAATGTGAATTGAGGCATTAAAACAATCCCAAACCACCTGCAGTGGTTTTGTATAAGTGCCTCTCCCATTCTCAGCCTCAGGGCCATGGATCTGTGTTTTCAAATTGCTTTGATATTTGAAGCAACAAAAATCTCAATGCGAGCTGATTATGTCGGACACTGGTGGAGCCTGGTGAGGCTGACGCTACCGTCTCTGTAGATTTCCTTCAGATGTATTGGGTAGCATATTCTTGGAGTCTTCCTTATTCTAAGCAAGCAGCAAATGCACAGCTGCCCAAGCACAGCCATTCCCCACCCCAGTCTACTGGCTGATGCTTTTGCAAGTCTTACCCTCAAGGATGAGCAGTTCAGGAAAGAGCTCCTTTGTTTCTTTATAGGAAAACAGAAAGACTCTTCTTAAGCCTTCAGCTCATTAGTGCCGGCCTCTGGCTGCCCTTTGCTCGGGGCAGCTTGGTCCTTGGTACAATGTGCCTATCATTCACAGCACTTGGGCCAATCCATGAGTAACAGAAGAACTCTCTCTCTAAGATCTATTTATTTATATGTATACAATGTTCTCACTGCATGTATGCCTTCATGCTGGAAGAGGGCACCAGATCTCATTATAGATAGTTATGACCCACCAGGTAGTTGCTGGGAATTGACCTGTAGTGGCAGTGCAGACACTAGGCACACACCCAGTGACCAGTGCAAAGGCCATGTGCAGTTGGCAGTGTTTAAGGAAGGACATGCTGGCAGCTGGTTTCTGTCCCGTGCAGCAAGCAGCACAGCAGGTCATTAGCAGTAGGTCTTCAGGACAGTGCTGTCACTCAGGTCAGGATTCTAGCACAGTATCCTAGCTTGGAGTCCTAGCTTTTTATAGGATCCACTCTGGACTCTCTGTGTTCACCTAGAAAAAAGAATGGTGGCAGAGATGACTTCAGCTTTTCCATCCCATAGACTCGTGTTCTCAGACAAAGCCTGGCTTCTCAATGTCTCCTGAGAACAAAATTCTCACATCCAAATCAAAGCCATGTCCTGGCTCTGGAGAGACCACGAGCAGCCCTAGGAGATCATCCCCACTCACTGGTTCCTCCATGAAATAGGTGCCCTTCCCTTTGCATCAAAGCTTTGGCGGTCTGCCCAGTGTGCCCAGGTACCACTAGGCACACTCCATGAGGAGGCAGCAGGACATGCACCTCGATGCAACTGAGGCCTGCAGCTGATTCTAACTCAGAGAACAATCCTGGGAAATGGGCATCTGCTAGCATGGGCTGAAGGGGCGTGTCCTACATCACAATGGGGGAGAGGGTGTGGGCTCCTCTATGCTTAGTCCCCCGACGATGGTTAATATTGCTTGTCAACGCGATGGGATCTCAAATCGCCCAGCAGACAAATCTCTGGGTATATTTTCGAGGAAGGTTCTTGATTCGGTTAACTGAGGAGGAAAGATCTACCCTAAATGTGGATGGCACCAGGGTATGGGATAGGGTGTAGGGCCGAATAAAAAGGAGAAAAGGTGTTCGAAGCTACCGATGCCCCCAGTGCCAGCGGCATCTCTCACTAGCAGAGCTCCAGCCGAAGGAGAAGCAGGTGAATAAGGAGGCGCCCACAATATGGTTCCTACAAACCAGACAGCCTGCAAATCCATAGGTGGTAAAGCACCTAGAAAACAACTGGCTGCAAAAGCCACCGACAAGAGTGTTCCCTCTACTGGAGGCTTGAGGAAACCTCATGGTTACAGGCCTGGTGCTGTGGTACTCCGTGAAATCAGATGCTATCAGAAATCCACTGAACTTCTGATTTACAAGCTTCCCTTTCAGCATTGGGTGCCAGAAATTGTTCAGGACTTCAAAACAGATCTGTGCCTCTTGCAGGAGGCAAATGAGGCCTACCTGGTGGGCAGTTTTGAAGCTACCAACCTGTGTGCTATCTATGCC